ATTAGATTGTGATTAAAATATTATTAGAAGGATGCAGGGTTGTACAGGGAGAGCTCATTAAGAGAGAATCCATGGAAAAGCTCCGGATAATGCGAGTTCAGGTTCAGCCAATATCGAGAGGCTTTCTCGAAATAGGTTTTTTTTTTCTATCCTTTCACCTTCATACGACGATTCTCATTAACAACATCATTTAAAGCTAACAATGCTAATGAACAATAACCAATATAAAAAAGAAACCAGAGACAAGAGAGAATGATTTAGTGAGATCAGAAATTGAGATATCCCTAAGACCCTAACTAAAAGAAGGAAGAAGAGGCTGAAATTGAGAATTTAAAAAAAAAAAAACGCAAAGGAGAACAGAGAAAATAATTTTGGAAAATAAAGGTAAATTAAGAGGGTCAATATTATATTTTTAGCGGGTTGGGTCAAGTGGAACGGGTCATTAAATGGTTTAAATGGATATATGTTTATTTCTTAAAATTTTAGTTAGAAATAAAAATTTCACGTCAGCAAATTTTAATGAAAAAAATAATTAAATAGGTTGAGTGACTTTCTACGTAAAGATCTCATAGTTGAGTGACTTTTGAGTTGAAGATCAAAGTTAAGTGACTTTCTGTGAAAAAAGTTGATAGTTAAGTGACCATCAAAAATATTAACTCCTTTAGTAAGTATTGATCATGAGTTGTCAAATAATATATATATTGTAATAGATATATCATGCAAATATATATGGTACGTGTGTACTGTGTTCTAATTGTAGCCTTAAATGCTCTACTAGTGATGAATAGTTATAATCTCAAATGTGCCTCAATTATTTGATATGGAATAATGTTTATGATCTTGTACAAAATACAGTCATTATTACTTACATACTACATTTTAATTAGTTTCATGAAGTTTCTTTTAATTTTGGCATTGGCTAGCTTTGAATATAACGCGATAAGTTCAACTTTTTTTTTTTTGACGAGGCAGCATCACCAAATGCCATTGAATCCTATTTTGAAAGTTAAAGGTCTTACTTCAAGTTTACTTTGCTTCGTTCCAATTTATGTGACATTGTTCGATCGGACATAAAATTTAAGAAATAAGAAAAGATTTTTGATATTTATCAAATTGTTTTTATTATAGTCACTTTAGTGCTTACTTTTAGTTAACTTGTACGAAGATTCGATAGTGAGTCAAATTATGAATTTTTAAATTTTTTTTTAAGTAACCGTTGGGCTTGAATCATGGACATGAACTTTTTTCTTCTTTTTTTCGTTTTTAATAACATACAAATATATATATATCGATGCACATAGAACTTCAGCTATCCTGATATATCGACTAGGTTTATCTCATTAAAAGAGTTAAATATGACAATCATCTAACAACAAAAAGTAAATATACGATTATATGTACGTAATCCTTGTTTCATGTGCATTACAAGTATACACACTTATCTTTCTTTTTTTCATCTGAATTTCAAACAGTTAAAAAAACTTCTACTTTGACTTTGGTCTCACTACAATGTAAATATTTTCTCAACAAAGTAAAGAACGTATCCAATTTTCACTAAGTGTAACGACTATACAAAGTTTTTATATGCAAATTCCAGCTTGTGCGAATATATATATATACTATTTAAATTTGTTCGATATAAGAGACCGATTGATGACAATAATATCATAATAAAACAAAAAATAAGTGTGGAATTTAATCTTTTAAGAATAACATTTCACAAAAAAATGCATTAAATTATATTCTTCAAATATTCAGTCAAGCACTTACAGATTTCACATGCTTAACTTGGAAAAAGAGATGTTTAGAATAATTGACACCTGAATTAAACAAGATGCCATATAGTATATATGATAATTATATTTTTATTTTTATTTAATAAAAGATCAATAATCACAGCTTAGAAAGGAATCTTAAGAGCGACATATCTTCTTCTATTGCATATTTGACTAAATAAATCTTAACTTATTAGTGCATAATTTTCTTTTATTGACTTTGTTAATTAGTTTAGCAAAGAAATATGCTATTTATATTAATCATCTCTCTATATAGGTGAATTTATATTTTTCACTTCAATCTTTATGATTTTATTATCGCTTTACTCATTACTTTTTAGAATTACGATTTCAAAATGGAATATTTATTGAAACTTTAATGATATTTAATTATACGTATATTTAAGCTCTGTATTAAATTTTGAGTTCAATTAAACTCATAATTTATTAGCGCTCCACATCCACCATTGTGTCAATAACAATCATAAAACTAAGTTACAATAAGTACTCATACATTATATATATTCATTTTGATTTAAAAACCGATTTATATTTACACATAACACCGGACATTACTTCCAAAAAAAATCTTTCTTCAAAATTCAAATCAAAGAAAGATTGGTTTATTCCCTCTCATAATTCGTCGATCAAATTAATGATTCTCCTTTTAAATTAAACAAATATGTCTTGCTTAAATATAAAGCAAACATACAATTAAATTAATGAAAGGAAAAAGAGTGAATAAATACTTGTTATATATAGTGCACAAAAAGAACTATAACTTAAATAGGAAAAGATATTGTCCATTAATTCCTTAGAATTTTATTCTTTCAATGACTTAGCCAACTGGGAAAAATTCTCAAACCAGATAATTTTTAGAAATAGACCCTACAATTGGTACAAGAATAAGAAAGAAAAATCATATCATTTTCAATATATTCCCTAATCTATTAAGACATTTTCCCATGAGAGAATGATACAAAATAACTATCCTTCCTTTACAAGCAAAAAAGATAAATATTCTTAAAGTAGACTTGACCATACCTGAATAAATAAATAAATAAAAGAATTAATTAAGGTATGATTTGTTTTCAAGTAAATGAAATTAAAGTTTTTTTTTGGTTTTTCACTCGGTGTTCCGAGCCTATATTGGAGCCCCGACTAAATTCGGATTGTGCACTACAGAGCTCATTAGGGGTGGTGCTCCCAACAAGCCATATTCAGCGCTCAAACCTAAGACCCGATGAAATAGTTTCACCACTGCACCATAACCCATGTTAGTAAATTAAAGTAATAATTGACGCTTATTTTTTTTCCAACGTAGGTATAGGATCTTTTTAAATTATAAGACTAGCAGAAAATGTCAAAAAGTTGAAAACATATTGAATCTTTTATGAAGAATTTAAATAAACAAGTGAACCTCTTCGAAATGCCATACATTTTTAATGACAAAGACTTGAAGAAAATTATGTTCAGATTTTTCGACAAGAACCCATTAACACTTTGCTTTTAATTATTCTTGATTCTTTTTATGACCAAAATAGTTTAATTCTTTTTTTTAAAAAAAAAAACAAAAAAAAAAAGAAATATTGTGAAGGTACATAATTATATTATTAACCGATAAGTTCACTAATCAGAATAACAATGTACTACTAATGGGACTTATACCTAACCATTCAATATTATAAAATCTTCAACGGAATGGGAAAAGAAAAACAACGATCTCATAGGGTGTGTTCGAAAATGTTTTTCAATTTTTCATATTGGCCTTGTCCTCTCCACCGCTCAACACACCATCACTTCCGTAGCCAATGGCAAAGCCATGAATTTGGCAAAGAATGTACAAGTTTTCTTATCAGTCGTGTTACAGATGTGCAAAGTTAAATATACACTCATAATAGCTAACATTTTAACCTCTATACATCACATAATTTTTTAACAAAGCTTGTACACCGGACCACCCTTCGCCTAAGGCGGCCCCATCCATCCCATCCACACCACCCCACACCCCTATCCCCCACCTCTCACTTATTAAACACAAAAAAAAAAAAAAAAAAAAAAAAAGTAAAAAAGATTCACTTATTTTTTTGAAAAATATTTTCCTTTGTAACGAACACACTCATAGTTGTAAAACTGACCTTTCTTCATAGTAACAGAGAATTATTGAACGACAATCCATAGGGCATATTTATTGTGATTTATTAATGGTTGAACTCTGGTCATTGCCCATAATTTTCTCATTTTTTTTCTGTAGTTCCATTTCCTTCAATCAAGAATAAAAGAAATGACATTAGTAGTTATTGAGGTGGGGACATTTCTATACAACATGCAAGTCCAATCAATCAAAGAAACTCACGGACAGAAACACTGATCCAAATTGGGACAAGTAGTAACATTCATTTACATACTACAAATTAGGAATGGTAGAAACTATACCAACTCTTAACTCACCATCTTTGTAATGTTACCTTCATCAACCTACAACTATGTCAAACATCCTTAGTCATGGACAGCCTCACCTGGGAACTAGCACACCAATAATTTTACGAGATCGAGCTTTTTCCTGAGTCGTTGCTCACATGTTATTAGTACAAACCCTATATCTATAGCAGCTCAATGGCTCAGACATGCCCTTGATGAGAACAGCAACATGTAGACTCTTATAGCCTCATGAGAAGGGAAAAACTCGAAGTGTGTGAATGAAGTGTTACATATAATTGGCATAAAGCCAATTGTACACACAGCTTGGACACAAGCTCATACAAACCCATAAATATTGGAGACATGATCACCAAACAGTAAGAGAAAAACGGAGAAACAAGAATGTTACACAAGGTGAGCAACATTCATACCAGTCAATAGTATAAAGCTGATGCCGTGAGTTGGCTAATTCACAGTATCCCAGTTTTGATGCATTGCCATATACCATCTTCATGGATACAGTTAGAGAGATCTCTTACAAGACACACACTCACACATATATATGGATCAAAGGCAGAACGAGGATGAAATATAAACTTCAAAGACAAACTTTATAAGCATTCATTTCAAAGAGTAGCTGAAACTAAACTGTTAAGCTAGTTCGAAAAAAAGGAAACTAACTACTTTAGGAATCCATATTCTAGGACAAAAGATCAGATGTTTTACCATCACATTACTGTAGGAAAGGAAATCCAACAATCTAAACAATCTCACTACAACAGAGAGAAGGTGTTCCACATAACGGTTACTCGGTCTGTGGCTCTAGCCAATGGAATTGGGCAGTATTTCCTTTGAAGGCAGCACTTTGTGGCTCTTGCTTTGGCTGAACCAATTCAATGGGTTTAGATTGTATCTGCCAAAGAGAAACAAAATACAAAGAAGTAAACAAACAATAAGATAAAATAAATAAAAAGTAAAAGAAGGAACACTTCGGCTCATTTGACTTTGCAAAGAAGAAAAGATGATCTCGGCATAAACCCAGGTAACTGGATACCAATTTCACTCCCTTGTGAGTAACTCATGCAATATGTAATTAATTTATGCGGAGTGATAGAATATAGATTGAGAAAATGCAATTATTAACAAAAATGGATTAGAATACCTAAAATAGTGCAAATACCCTTACTTATATCCATTTTAACTTTAAAAAGTAAATATAGCCAGCTTACTTTAAAGTAAAGCATGTGTAATAAATATAAGGCAGCTCTCAATTTAGACAACAAGTCACTTGACATGTAACTTCACAAATTCTCAAGATACAAGGCACAGGACATACCTTGCACAGCAAACTTTTCATTGTGGACTTCAACAGAGTATCGCCTTCGATAAACCTCAACCGTTTCTCAAATTCATCCCTACATATCTTCTTGAACTATCAATGGAGAAGAAAATCATTAGAACAACAAGATGAAATACAAAAATTCAGGTGTAAAATGAGAGGAAAAGATTCTGTATATATACAAACCTCAAGCAACTCAAGATTTCTAGTAACATGGTTCATTTTCTCGGCAGTTACTTCATTGGAGATTGCATCAATCAACAAGGAAAATGGCACCCCAAGGGACTTTGGAATCCTCGCAGCCTCTTCTAGGGCCAACTTAACCAGTGATATTTGATAACGATGACTTCCCTAAAGATGAAAATACAAAAACTGTTACCTAAAAAGATCTGCAGTTAATTGATGAACAGATACAATTCCAGCAAGGCTGCAAAACAGACATGTTTCTTGTAGGACACGTAAAACAGAAATGTTTCTTGTGCGACAGATGAATAATACCGGTGTTTAAGCACGTGCAAGAGCAATTACTATGCCTTTGCAATGGTGGATGCAGATTATTTGTTGCACCACATACCTTATACTAGTACTTTACAATTGCAAACCCGTTAAATAATATCAAACAGTCATCTAGAGAGTACTTCATCAAGTGCCTATGTCATCAATGATGTCCTAGATAACTAGCATGCATCTAAGGAAGTAACTCAACCATTGATCAAGAAGATAAATCGATACAATAAATATAAGCAGCACACATGTCAAAGCATATAAAATAACTTTCTGTTTTTTGATGTTCACTCATTTTGCCAAAGAAATTCAAGACATGGTCTTTCGAATTAGTGAACTTCATGTTCCTCTTCTTTGCCCATTGTGCTTGATTTCTTTAGAAGTTTTTCAAAATCCTAAATTTATTTCAAGGTCATATTATCAGACAGTTCACTTCGCTTTTGTTGCATGTCCAACACTGTCTCTCCACAACTCCCCCCATCTTTCAGTTCAATGAAGATCATATAATCAAATCCCACCAACTACCTAAGTGTACAATATTTGTAGCTTAACTTCCCAAGTCCTTCGGAAATGTATTTGTGGGTACCTGTTCCACAGGGCCCCGAGGACAAGTATTGACACCTGAGACATCAATCCGACTATCATTTCCAAAGCGGGTTCCTGTAAAAAGCGTGGTAGCGTTAATTCAAGTGTTGCATGATTTTTCTATTCGAAATATTTAAAGTTTTCCGCAATTTTTAAAATGCTAAAAATATTTAAGTTGACAAGAATCCTAATAAAAACCTGAAATCAGCAACAAACTTGTCACTTTCATTTATTTCACAGATCTAGAGAACATTGAGAATTTCACCTCATAATTCTTATATTCAAAGTTTTTCCGGAAAGCAAATGTCTCAAAGGAAATATACTATAATTGATCATAGTTTGGAAAAATAAGAGTATATAGTTGATAATATACCGTGTCTAAACCAAAATTGGTTCTCCTATTTCACTTCCCAGTCGAATGAATAATCCTTAACTAAGGCATAAATACTTCTTGTTATTTTGAAATGAAACAAATGTAGCTTGCTATACTTTCGACACACTTACTAAATAACTAACTCTTATTGCCAAAAGACTAACTAACTTGAAATTCAATTTTAACTCCAAAAATTCATTGAGAAGAAATTGGTTATGAGGAAAACTAGGGCCCAAGTACAGTTAAGATACTGTACTTTTTTCTGGCATTTGACTTTCACAAAGATAAAAGTGAATATGATACTTCTGAAAAGAACAAATAAGGTGAAGTTTCCATTTCAAGGAAAGAGACGTGGGAATGGCCCGACATGAAAAGAGAGAGTAATGTGAAGCAGGCTCCATGGTTGTAGACACTAACAACAGTTTCAAAAAAAATTGTTTTGAGTTATAAGGCCTATACAGATCGTGTCATCCTGATGCTTCAATATAGGAACAAAGTGGACATTACCTTCAGCTCCTGGAGGAATTTTGAAGCTCACAACACACACTGGGTATATATATGTATTCAAATTCATATTCCAAACAACATAATGAGTAGGATTCTCGAGATCATCAACTCCAGTATCGTATTTTTTCGTCACTGGGATGCCATTGTTCAGATCCGCAGTGCAAAGGTTCCACATTACCCAAAATTACACGAGCAAAAACCATGTAATGTACGCCATTTTCATCAGCATCGCAATTAATGGCACTGGAAGAGAGGAAGAGAGAGAAAATATGAAGGTTGATGTTAGATCCTCAAAGAAAACAATAACAGACATAAACAAGACAAAACAGAGAGCTTTCTTTGTTAGTCATGTGGAGATTCATATTACGAATCATACAAGAATATAAGTCACTCCTTTTCACTGAAAATAAAAGAAAACCTACAGCATTCTTTTCTTTAGGGATTAGGTATTGTTTTCCTTTTTTTCTTTCTGAGGGGGGGAGCCGTCAAATGATTAGGAAGTACCAAATCAGAAAAAGCTCTTAATCTGATAACTGATCACAGTTTGACCTTGCTGAAAATGCAAAATATAGTCAGTTATGAATGATGTTCGATAAAGAGAATGTACTCAAACCTTTTGGAGGCACAATGGAGAGCACTAAGGTGAACTCCAACTCCAAATTTAGGCCTATACTTAGGTCCTCCAGGTGCAAGGCCGTACTTCATAATTGTAGATATCAAATCTTTGGAAGCGGCAAGCCAAGCATATCGAACATTTGCGTTTCCACGATATTTTTGCGTTATTTCAACCTGCTTCTCAAAGAGTTCCAAGCGAGTTCTCAAATAATTACTAGAGCATTTGGTAATTTTGATCTCATCCTTGTTGGGGATAACATTCATTCCCATAATAAACATATTTTCGACAGATTCTGCATTCACCAATTTCAGGCTAGCTACTAAGTCAGGAGATGGTGTTTCCTGGTTCTGTTTATTTTCTGCAACTTGTTCCATTTTTGCATCTGATTTTTTATAATCAGCAAATTCTTGACTGTCTTTAGGAGGATATACTTTAATCCTCTTATAACCGATATTTGACTCTTCCACATCTTCTTCCAAATTACGATTATCCAGTCCATTTAAGTCAATGTCGAGTTGCAACTTAATATCAGTTATCCTAGCTGGCTCAATTGTCATGAACTCTTCAGTTCTCTTTGACAGGGTTTCAAAATTCCCATGCATTTCACTACTGATAAGATACGACTCAGGGAAGAAACACCTACCTACTTCATCTATCCAGGCAATAGGTTTCTGTAAACCATTTATCATATCTATTTGAACCATATGTAAAGTATCAAGAATTATATGAAAGTCACAAACTTTCACCTCAAAAACTGCCTTTTTTGCCCGAAAATCTTCTTTAACTATAGGAATAATATCTTGAGGGAAGTCGGTCCATTCACCGTTCTGATAAAACAGTACACGTTGCGGCAGTCTGCTTCTCTTGAAGTTCAGGTAGTTCTTGTGTACAGATTTCCTGAGATGTGATTGACAATTAGACTCGCAGTCAACGATCCTTTTCCTCTTCTCAAGCTTGCTATCACAGTTGGATTGAATTGATATTTTCTCACTGCTGGCTCTAAACAAATGTGCCAAATTCTGAGAAGCCACTTTACTCTTTGCTCCAACCACAGTCCTACGGCCACTATCTAACAATCCAACCCCCTTTGGTTCCATTTTATCTACAGATTAACTATCGATTTACAAGTACCAAACAAAAAGGCTAAATACTAATAGTAAAAACCATCTGTAATAAATTTCCGGGAAGCCACATCATATAGAAGAAAATGCAAAACCTAGCAAAGAAAAACAAATAGGAAGTCAATCAGTCAAAAAAGGAATCCATAACAGCATCTTCATGAATATATCAGTTGACTGCAACTTAAAGGGCTTTGTCCAGCTTCAATTTTTTTAGAAAGCAGATACTCGACAAATTGAACAAAGGCATTCCATAGAAATATAGAAGTCCTTACATATGTTATTAAAGAAACCGATGCCAAGTGAACACTTGAATAGCTAATTGGTCTAAGTTTCTAACACAAAAGTATACATCATACTTGACCACAGGAAAGGTGAGAAGATAAAACATTGAAATGCATCCAACTGAAGTCACAAACCATTTACCATTTTTGAAAACAAAGATATATTATATTCTAAGAGGAACAAGAAAGTGTGCACAGAACATAGGTTAGTTTGAGATACTAACCAACTTCTGCACTGCACGGCAATTGCTGTACAAGTCAATTTTTTCCATAAAGTCGGTGTAAAGTCAACAAATTCTTACCTTTTGCACAATGCTAAGCTAACAGAGATAATCTAATTGGCCTCCTCTGAAATGTAAATTTTGTCAGTTTCCAAATCAAAAGCAAATGTACAATTCATAAATAGATGTTTGAAATCAAACTTCTGCACTACAAAGCAATAAATAATAGGGAAAAAAACAATAATTTTTTTCTAAAAAAGAAAAAGAGAGGTCAATGTTCTCCATCAGTATTTTTCCTAAATATATTGATCCCACATCATAGTCCACCATTTCTCTTCTCAAAGAGGGGAGATTTTTCTCTATCCCAATCCACCCATCCCTTCGTCCTATCATATTATTGTATGCGAAAGACATCCTTGCTTAGAACTCCCCTATATATACACACACATATACACACTCCCTCCCTCTCTCTCTCTCCCATTTTACCTGTTGTTTTAACTCAAAAAATTTGTCCCAAATAATTGTAACTTAAAAAATTCATAAGTAAAGTTGGCAATTGTTTCCAACTATAACCCTTAACATTAAAGAAGTAGTAGTTCTTTTTAATACTGCTAAATCCTCAAAAAACATTTGAGAAATACTCCCTAGGGTTTGAACTCATTCCCATTTCAAGACTACTTTAAAAACTTTCACGAATTTAAATTATTAAAAAAAATGTAGGTTTTGAAAAGATCTTTCACAGATAAACGCCACCTACTATTCAATTTTTTTAACTTTGATTTTCTCTACCAAACCCTAACTTTCAAATCACTAATATAATAAAAAAAAAATCAAATTTAACCTCTTAAACTCCGCCCAGTCTAATACCCACTATATAAAAAGGCAAAAAAATGGTAACACCAAATAGGAAATCGGTCATAAACAAGCAACTAAACTCAATTAAATCGCAAAATTAAACCCAGAAAAAACTAAAAATGCAAGCGGATACTCCCAGAAAATCAAAATCAGGTCACAACATTTCCAGAATAAAGCAAATCGAAACAGATTAATTCAGATCCCTAAACTTTTACAAGAAAAAAAATCATAAACAAAAAGGGATTCTTACCACGATAACAGACATACTTCATTGATTAAAAAAAAAATGTTATCAAAGCGCAAAGCGGAGAAAACAAAGTAAAGCAAAGCAGATTAGCAGATGATATCAGTGAAAAAATTAGTAATTTTTTTTGTTCAATTGTTTTGTGAAATTCAACTACAACTAAGAATGATTTTATATATAAATACAATGGTTTTGAGAAATTCAACTACTAGTATACAACATTAATTACTGGATTATCCAAATTTTATTACGTTGTAGACTTTGAATATTTGGGGTTTTATAGCTTTGCTTAGACGCAAAGAAAAGGAGGAAAAAGATAACGGCACATAGAGGGGAAAAAAAAACTACTTGGCCCTTTTTTGTTTTCCTATCTAAAATGAAGAATATATAGTTTTCTATAGTATTTATTTTTTTTTCTTTAATAAATTTAAAACTATGTAAATTAGTATATTTAAACAATAGAAAATTTGGTGCTATTTGTTGGAATGAGAAAAGTAAATTATTATTTTTCCAAACTTGAAATAAAAAATTAAAAAAATTGTTACTATAACAATAAATTCATACACATTATGAGAAAACACAATATTATGAGATCATATTGATCACTCGTAATCATCAATATTAATTGTATTAAAACTTGTGATAGTCTTGTAAATTCATAAACTAAGACCTTAGCAAGAAAAAATGTTTGGAGCACATTGAGGGGATGAGATTGAAGCCACTAATTTCAAGTGTCATATATGAGGAAATCCAACTTGAGACTAGAAATTAAATAATCAGGTTCAATGGAAAAAAACGAATCATATAATGACTCTTTAGAAATGCACTAATATTAATTTGTATTCTCTCCTTATAATGTAAGTGCATCTATCCTGTAATGATTTGTGGAGGTTGAATTTACGAACTCTTAGGGTGTGTTTGGTATGGAGGAAAACATTTTCCAATTTTCTCATATTTGGTTAGCTTCAAATGTTTTCCGAATCAACTCATTTTCCTCAAATTTAAGGAAAATAACTTCCCTTCAAAATTAAGGAAAACATTTTCCAAAACTCTCCTCTAACTTTAAATTACATTTTTTTTATCCCTACCCCCAAACCAGCCCCTCCTCCCAAGTCCCAACCAAAGAAAAAAAAATTCACAACTTAAAATTTTATTTATGAAAAATAGTTCAAATTTTAAAATTTTCGATTCGAAAGTTTGTTTTTTTAAAAAAAATAAAAAAATTCAATTTTTTATTTTCTTTAATCCACACCTACCCTCCCCCAACCACCCCCCACCAAAAAAAAAATTAAAGCTAGTTTTTTAAAAAATATTTTCAACTTTATTTTTTTTATTTTTTTACCCCCCATCCCACCCCCGCCAACCCCCTACCAGCTCCCCTCCCCCCGCTCCACTTTTAAGTTTTTTTTTTAAAAAAAATCCAAATTCCAATTTTTATTTTTTAACTCCACCCCACCCCTACCCTCGACCCCCTCACCCACCCACCCACCAGCCCCCCCCCAACCCCCCACTCCAAAAAAAAATTAAGTTTATTCTTAAAAAATATTTTTAATTTCAAATTTTTATATTTTTACCCCACCTCACCCCTACCCTCCCCCCGGCAGGCCCCTACCAACACGCCCCTCCCCCCTCCTCCCGTCAAAAAAAAATTAATTTTGTTTTTTAAAAATATTTTCAATTTCAAAAATTAGTTTTTACTCTCTAGTAAAAATAAAAGATATTTTCTCAAAAATATTTTTCATTCACAAAGCAAACACTAAAAAAAAATTCCGAAAAATATTTTCTACCCACCAATCAAACATGAGAAAATAAGTCAAAAATCCACTTGTTTTCCTACATACCAACCACACCCTTAATGAAAGTTTTTATCTTGTATAAGTGGGGTGTCATAATTATAGGAGCATCATTGACAAATTTCACATATGTGAATGTAAAGGTAGGTCACTTTCTATGAAAATGCACTTGTTCTCAAAAACATTATGAAAATCGGGATAGCACGAGGCAGTAATGTGTTGGATATTAAAGTTTATGTCAACACCTTGGTTATTATGTGTAAATATTGATATTTCATTTCCCTTCAGTGGCATAATTCATGTCTGAGAGTAATACTGACTCTAGAGTAAATGTTATTATTTTACTAAGTAAATTCATATAGAGCATACCTTCATTATGTATAATAGTCCCTCTTCAACTAAATTAGTGAAGAACTCTCTTATTTTAATAGTAAAATGATCAGTGGGATTGTTGGTCCTTTTACATTTTAATATTATAAATGCAAGATGAAGTTATTATCCTCTGACTTGGTGAATCATATCAATTTTCTTTGTGATATTTGTGCCTCGGTACTTTCATCAATTATGATAGAATGTGGTCATTAGTTATTTGTAACTTTTGTAATCTCTCACTCATTATTCACCTATTATTCTACCTAGGATTGCTTATCTGACAGATCAAACGAATAATTTTGCTTAACCGTTTGGTCTATCAATTATTAATTTTTAAATGTACGAATTCACTAGTCAACCGACAAGAAATCGATTGGTTTGATTCGGTAATGGAATAGCAATAATCGAACGATGCATCAGATTAGCAGCCAAGCTTGAGACTTGGGTAATTGAGTAGCCCAAATTCCTAATCAGAGAACAAAATTGAACAAGAAGAGTCGAAAATTAATATTACTATTAGGGTTAGTAGTTATAAAGTAATATAATAATAAATACAACAAAAAAATAAATGTGCTTTGAGTTTTCAATTTAGGACTAACGGTATATAATTATATATTATGGCAAAATATTAAACGAAGCTTTAATCTTTAGGGTTAATATTATATGTTTTTTATTAGTTTATATATCTAGAGTAAAGGTGTATGTACGTATGATAACTCTTAACGGCTTAATTATTTACCAAATAAGGAAATTGAGTAATCCGTTCCCGCACCGATTAGCCGTTAATTATGAAATTTCAATTCATTCACTATCCGTTTATTCAATAACCCAATACCAATAAGCCAATGAGCTAATTTTATATTGTTTTATCAATTACAATTCGATTTTGAACACCCCTACTCCATGCCATTCTCCACAGCCTTTAATGTGCGAGATAAAAAACCTAACCCCCTTAGAGCTAAATACAGATTCCACCATTATTATTTCGATGATACTTAAAGGTCATTTTCATTATGCTAACATAACCTTTGTGTATGTGTACATGAGCAGAATATGATAACGTATGTGCTAGCTAAGGAGGGAGCAACCAGAGGGACCCACGATGCCCCTAATTTTTGGGAAGTTCCTCCACTGTACATATGCCAGAAAAGCATATTACAAGTAGACATCAACGAAACTTTTTTTTTTCTAGGAGCATTACGTTTTGCAAAACTTGGAACTCAAGGTCATACCACAATCAAACATTCAAACATAGGGGATCCCCATCCAGTTTTGTATTAGACACTTTCTGATTTTCTAAAATGAAATTCGTGATTAATAAAAAAACTCATGTTAGTAATTTACTTATCTCATTACTACCTCATAATTTTCCTATTCATTGTAAGGAAGAATTCCTCATCTATAAATACTAATGCTCTTACTTGTTTTGTAGAGAAAAAAAATATAGAGTAAGAAAAAATGAGAAGCATTAATGTGTTGAGATTCATATAATCATACTGTGAAAGAGAGAGTTGAAACATAAAAATATATATCTCATTTTATGGTATACTACACCAACAAAATCTATAGGAGGATGTCTTGTCATCTAAATTTAAGCTGATGTTAGAAATATTTATTTTAGGAGTAAAGAAGAGAAAATAAAACCATAGAGATTAAGAGTGAGATTCAATTATTCAATTTTGGGAAAATGTGCATCAACATTCGATTTGGTTCAATTTTTTTTAACTTTAATTCGATTTAATTCGATATTTTAATTCTGTGAAAATGAGTGAGATAAAATAAGAAGCAAAGCAATCACCAAAAGTCTAATAGACTTTAAACATTTTAATATGCAGCAAACACACACACACATATATATATATAGGGATAAAAGTCTGAAAAATATCTCAACTTTGGTCGAATTTGCTATTGCGATACTAAACTTTCATGAGGACCTATTACTTGGTGCACACCACACAACATATATACATAGCAACAAACATACATAGTAGCAGTTCTCACTTGTTCTTCTCAGATTTGCAATTACTGCTTTGGAGTTCACAGGTAGTACTAAATAGGGGGAAAAAAGAATTGAGGTAGGACGACTGTTGATAATTTGGAATAAATTAGGTATATGAGCTTGGTGTTTTGGGCTCAAATCTAATTTTTTTAAAAATCTTTTAAATAAGTGTTT